CGGCTCAAATTGAGAAGCCCTTTTAACCGGCCACGTGGTCTGCACGTGGTCTGCAGGTGTAGACAGACCTGGGTGGTTTCTGCACCTTTTCTGTTCAGCTCCTTTGTATTCCTAAGAACTCCGGGGAAGTGAAGATATCTTCGCCAGGGTACTGTGCATGGTGCTTGCGTCTCCTCGGGGGGACCTGGCCAATGATAATCCCACGCATGGAGGCGAAGGCTGGAGTCGTCAAGTACCCTGCCTTTCTCTGCGCTGGGCTTCGCACTGGCAAGACATGGCAGAAAAAAGCCATTGTGTATAGAACCCACGCATGAAGGCGAAGGCTGGAGTCGTCAAGTACCCTGCCTTTCTCTGCGCTGGGCTTGGCACTGGCAAGACATGGCAGAAAAAGACATTGTGTATAGAAACCTTGTTTTTTTCTGAGCCCTACATTTGTAACACCCCAAAGCTGTTGAACCTGGAAGCCCTAAACCCCGCAACCTTCAAGCCCCCAGCCACTACTGTTGATGATATAAATCCTGCATCACCTCAAGGACCCTAAACTATGGGAACTTCTGGTATATTCCTTATTATCGGTACTGCAGGATTTAAATCATCAACCGCAACATAGAGGTCGGAACAATTTCCACCAGCATTCCCATCTCGGCCCTTTCTGATGATACTATAATTTCCCGTGCCCCCCTCCCCATCAGGGTTTAGGGTTTAGGGTTTAGGCGTTTAGGGTTCAGTATTGAAAGAACCGGCACCCTAGCCGTGTAGACTCGCCAGCCTGTGCTCCAAGCCGGCACTCGAAGGCCCAGCTCTGCAGAACCTGACGACCCCCAAAGCCTCAAGCTTTGTTTGATTACTATAGGGGCCTTCTTCTTCCACGAGCTTAGAGTCCGGTGGGCGCGCTGCTAGCAAGATGAATTAAACCTGCATTTAACTAAAAGTGGCGGTGGCGCAGAAATCTAGACATAGCATGCGCTCACCAGACAGGGGTGGGATGTAACCAGCAGACGGAAGAGTTGTCCCATCCCCACCACAAAATCAAAAATGGCACATGGACGATGCCTGAGAATGCGCGGCAAACACAGGATGCTTTGTATTCCGCAATCGGCGATCAAGCGCCAGACAATACACAATCCACATATCGGACCTAAGAAGTGCAGGATCTTCCTCATGGGTGTCAGATGAGGCCATCCCTGCACGGTTAAGATGCCCAGGATGTCTAAACACCTTCATCGAGGTGATTTCCGGTCATCAAACTCAACACTAGCATGAACTAGGACTTCCACACTCAAATACAAAGCGCTCTTGCATCACTAACTTACTCAGGAACTGCTAAATCAGGATAGCAGCCAGCGTCATCAAATCGAAGGCCTCGTCATCTGTGCATCCCCCCTCTCCACAAGAATTGCAGCAGGTGCCAAGTTTCCGTTTGATAGTCCAAACGCCCTCGCCTGACGAGCCTCTGTTCTGCGTGATGCCGCTCAGCTGGAAAGCCAACATGAAGCCAGCCGCAAACTCTATGGTGACGTATGCGAGCGTGTCCTCCAAACCTTGTGGTGATCCAGATGCCCTCGGCGGACGAGCCTCTGCTCTGCTTGATGCCGCAGGGTTGGAAAGCCAGCATCTTCTTGAAACCAGCCGCCATGGTGAAGTGTGCGAGGGTGTCCTCCAAACCTATGTTCAACATGGCCACCTTGCAGAGTGTGCCTTTCGAGCCCATCAACACCAACACGTCGGGTGAAGTGCATGAGCTGCCAGGTTGCCGTTTGGTGGTCCAAATGCCCGCGCCTGGCGAGACCTTGCTCTGCTTGATGCCGAGCGGCTGGAAAGCCAACGACTTCTTGAAGCCAGTCGCAGACTCCTCTATGGTGAATTGTGCGAGCGTGTCCTCCCAACCTATGTTCAATATGGCCACCCTGCACAGCATGTCCTTCGAGCTCACAAACGCCATCACATCGGGTGAAGGGCATGAGCTGCCAGGTCGCCGTTTGGTGATCCAGATGCCCTCGCATGACGAGCCTTTGTTTTGTTTAATGCCGCGCAGCTGAAAAGCCTTGAAGCCAGTCGCAAACTCATCTGCCGTGTCTGCCGTGTAGTACGTATGCGAGCATGTCCTCCGAACGAATGCTCAACATAGCCACGCAGTGCGTCTTTTGCGTCCATGATGCTTTCATGTCGGGTGATGGCAAAACCTGAATGCCCAGCTTGTGCGTGGCACATTTCGCTATGCACTGCTTGCCCGTAGCCGGCAGGCGCACCCATGGCGGGTGCTGGGGCCTACAATGTTCCTGCCCTGCGCAGGCGATTGGGGCCCTCTATAGGGGCCTCAATAGATAGAATAAGGTTTGGGGTATATGATACTCTATATGATAAGGAACCCCCCCAAACCCTATTCTAATTATTAAGGCCCCTACGTTAGGGGTTAGGGTTTAGTGTATAGTTTGATTGCTAACCCACCGAGACCAGAGGCCAGAAACTTCAGACTTCCGCAGTTGAACCCGGCGGATCTGGGGTTTATGGATTTGCCAGAGCTCTGAAGGTAGAGGAGCTGGAAAAGAAGATGGAGGAACTGAAGCTCTGACTCTTGTCAGGACGAGGGTTCAAAGTTTAAAGCCTTTGGGTCTGGGTTTGTGCAGTTAGAGTTGAAAGGTTGAGGATTGCAGAATGCGGGGGAACGTGGAATCCTTTTTAATTTCGCGGTGCAGGTGTTCTCCTCCCCTAAACCCCTAAACCCTAAAGGCTGGCTTCGTAGTTGAGCATACAGACGAAGGCAGGATTCAGGGTCCATGGCTTACCTCGAAGCCCGAAACTCCAAACCCACCCCCCACACGAGCGGAAGTGCTAAATCCCACCCTGCAGAGAAACCTCCGGATTTGTCCAGAGGGCTCTGGAGATTGATATTTGGTTCGAAGCTTCAGCCCCAGGGACAGACTAGATGACAGGGGCTCTGAGCAAATAGTAATGGTGGCCGCTCTTGTCAGCATATATCTATGGTGTACTCCCTTCCCAAACACCTATTCCAATTCAGGCCCCCATATGAACCTACTCCGAACCGTAGCAGTACCCCAGTCCTACTATCGGTCTTCATTTGTGGGCTTGGTGGTTTAGCGGGTTCAGATCTATCCTGATTTGTTGCGTTTTGAAGACCTACACTGGGGTTTGAGGTCTACTACGACTTAGATGGGGTCAGGTTTCCTTTGGGGTTTGTAAAGTGGTTCATGGTTGCTGTGGGATCAACAATAACAGCTTTAATCTTTAGTTCATGAGTTTTACAGGTTACAACAAAAGCCCTGAGTTGTCCACTCTGCAACTTAGACCTTTGAAGCCCAAACTAGATAATTCAGGGCTGTAGTGTTTAGTACTGACACTGCACGACTGCACCCCCCGAAAAATAAGACCAGCAAAACCGTAAACTCCGTAAGAATAACTGAACCCTACCTCCTCCCCCCCTCTGAAAAAAAAACACACACACATTCCAGAGCTCCCGGCAGCCGCAAAGCCCTCTGGGAATAAAACTTCGATGCTCTAAAACTCAAGCCAAACGTTCACGCCTGAAACCGTTGTAACCCCAGCTAAACTGAAACCCCTGAAACCCAAAATCAACTTTAAACCCTAAAGCCCTAAACAAAGTTTTGAACACCTTATATGAAAACTGCCTAGACCCAAACTAAACCCAAACCCCCTGAAGCTGTTCATCCCGAGGACTGTTCTATTCCTCGCAGCCACTCTTCAACGCGCGTATGGAAAAGTTGGCATTCCCGTTGCTGGAAAGGTTAAATCCTGATAAGGACTAATAAGGACTTATCCAACCAAAACAGCCCAAACAACGGCACAAACACAGCTGCATGTAGCCCTACAAGATATGTTTCGATTGCTCTTTGTGTTCCAAGCCTCTAAGCTTCCACGTTCTGCGGATGCAACGCCGACTCTTAGACCCCTTGTTGTGTAACGAAGAAATTCTTCTGTAGTTTTTTTTACGGTTTGGGGTTTAGGCAGCCCTCCAATAGGTACCGAATTGAGATAGTTGAACAGCTCCCTTGTTGGGAGGGCTGTTGAAATCGACACCTAGGACGCAGTCTATGCGCGCAGCTGTTTTTCTTCGCTTTCCCTGTCCTGTCGCTTTAGTTGCCTTTTGCCATGGGAGGCCTCGGCAAAGGCAAGGGCAAAGTGGCCATCGGCAAGGGCAAGGGCGTTCCTGTCGATCCCGGCTATGCCTCGGCGTCTTTCGGTAAAGGCAAAGGCAAAGGCAAGACCAAAGTTTTTGGGCTCGGCGAGCCCATGCGGACAGGAAAGGGCAAAGGCAAAGTGCCTGAGCCGGCCATGAAGGGCAAGGGGAAGACAGGAGGAGCTGGAAAAGCTTCCGCCAAGGGCTTGGTGAAGGGAAAAGGAAAGAAGGGTGCCGGCAAGGCTCCAGTGAAAGGTGCAGGCAAGGCAACGAAAGGCGCCGGTAAGGCAGCAATTAAGGGCAAAGGCGAACCAGGCAGCAAAGGCAAGGGCAAGAGTGTGGCCGGTGCCGCTTCAGCCAAAGGCAAGCATTCTCCAGGGAAGGGGGCAAGTGCTCAGGGCCCTAGTAAAGGGCAGCCTGCAAGCAAAGGCAAGGGCAAAGGGAAGGAAGGTCAGGCCGGCGACGAGCCACGAGGCAAGCATGTGCCCCGACTGGCAGCAGAGCTGGCTGGCTGCATCAGTGACTTGCTGGAGGGCAAGTTCACCTACGCCGAGTTTTGGTATGTCTTTGAGGATTTCTGCCAAGAGCGAGGCTATCCGAGCACGGGTTTCTCCACGGTGTGGTACTTGATGGAGCGTTGGCGAGTCATCGGACATGCTGAAGGAGGCAGGTACAAGCTTCTCACGCAGTCAAACTTCAAGGGTCGATCGCCGACGGACGCCCTGGGAGCATTAGACGGCCAGAAGCTTAGTTCTCCCATAGCCAACCTTTAAACTTTGTTATGGGTTCTTATGATTTCGTAGTATTCTGAAAGCTTAACCTTTAATTTTTCTGGCTTCTTGCGGAAGTAAGGAAGCCACCACTTCTTGCCCAGGACTTTGCCAGTCCGGTCCCCTTGTATCCACTACCATGGAAGCTGGAGACGCTCACAGCCCTGGAAGTTTACAAAATGCAGGCCGCAGCCAAAAAAGTTTTGCTGGCAGAGGGCCTACATCCTGGGCAGCTGGAAGCCCGCTACAAGGACGGTTTTAGGGTTTCGGGTAAACCCTAAGCCGTTTCCCTATCTCCGGCCTCCCTCAGCCCCCTAGCTTTCGATCACGACCGGAATTTGTGTTACAGGCTGCAGGGAATGCCTGTGTATGGTTCTGTTGCAGAGGACTACCAGCACCACCTGCTGTACGTGGAGGAGCTGTAGATGAAATCGCAATCTCCTTCCAGTTGTGGTGTATAGTATACCATAAACCTTAAACCGCTAAGCGCTAACGCCTCGTGCAATAGTGTATGTTTACATGCCAGGCCTGCGCGACTCTTCGGGTATAGTGTTGACTCACATTGTGAGAGTTTCAGAAACTCAGGGACCCTACTGAAGGCTTGTGATAAGCAATCTCAAGAGAGGGCATTTGTGAAGCCGCCTTATCTATGCTCACTTCTTCGGAAGACCCGAAGAAATCGTCATCCGGCGGTTGATGTCCGAGACAGATACGGTTGTTTTTTTCTACGGCTCGACTTACGGTTCGTGGTTGGGGCTTCGGGCTTGCCCTAAGCCGTAGACCCTAACCCCACGGTTTAAGGGTTTAGGATATTGGGTTATTGAGGCTTCACAAGTCAAGTAGGAGCTTCAGATGAAGTTCGACATTGCCCTCTATGACCTCGAGGTTGATACACGGCTGGACTATCTCAGAAAGGAGAAGCTACACAAGATCCTTGCCTCGGATTTCCTTGCTTGAGGGTTTGGGGTTTGGGTTTTAGGTCAAAGCTGGTGAGTGGTGTGTTCAAGAGTTTACACAGGTTATGCTTGCTCCATTCAGGAAGTCTATCGAGGGATTGTTTTAAATCAACAGGATTTTGCTACATGCGAGATATAGGCAGGCCCCCCCCCTTCTCAAAGAAACAACACCGAACGACTCTTGTCAAGATGGTGGGTTCTAGCTGGGCCAGCACTTCTAAAACTATGTGGTTGATGCCTTGTAGCAGAGTGGGTAACCTATAACCGTTTGGGGCACGATAAACCCTATGTAATTTCAAACGTTAACCTTTAGTTCTTCTAAGGTGCTCAAGGGTTCTTGATTTTCGGGACTTTTCCGCTTGAGAGAGGTCTGGGGTTTGGGGTTTAGGGTTCAGGGCTATTGGTCTGGGGTTTGGGGTTTAGGGTGCAGGGTTATTGCTTTTGGGGTTTAGGGTTCAGGGTTATTTGTTTGGGGTTTGGGGTTCAGGGTTATCGGTTTTGGGTTTGGGGTTTAGGATTGGGTTCGAGGATCTTCCTCCTTGCATCCTTGGCAAGTGGCTTTGGGGTCATTGAAAGCTCACGAGCCTTTGCAAGAAGGGTTGTAAGTTCCTTTATTGGGTTTAGGGTTTAGGGTAATCTAGGTAGCATTGGATGATACTGCCCACATATAGTTCTCGTTCTTCTGACCTCACCTGCTCCGGCCCCCGATGCTGGAAAAATGCGTAACTCTAAACCCTAAACCCCTTATCAGCACCTTAGAGATCCCTTCAAGAATTCTGCAAAAGCCCTTATAAAGGGACCAACCTAGCCTTTGGTTCGCATACCCTAAGGGTCCATGTAGCCAAATAGATATACATAGGCCCCAAAGTACCCAAATAGGGACTACATTAAGGCCAAAGTATATCTATTTGGATACATGGACCCTTAGGGATAGCCACAGGATCTTCGTACCTGGCCTGGCCGAGAAGAGGCCGAGCGTCTTACGCGGAGACACTCGGTTCCCAGTATCTTGTGGTTTAGGGTTTAGGGTTTAGGGTTTAGGGTTGGTTCCCAGTATCTTGTTGTTCCATGGTTGTCTTGGGGCTCCTTGCTTAAGGCCTAAACTCAAGATCCTATACAGGGCCTTTAATTTTGAGAAAGCGTTCGCCAATGAAGCCTAGACCCTTAAGCCCTCAGGCCACACACCTAAACCCGCAGCCTTAAACCAAAAGGGATTCTGCTTCCGAAGGGGCTCCGGGAGAACCGAGGACACTGTTCTGGTGACCTGCCAGCGACTTTGGCAGAAATTTACCCGAGTGAGAACCCGATCGGAGAGCCGGATTGTACACTCAAACCCACCTGCATGCAGCATATCATTTTTATCGATGCGTATATAAGAATATACACATGGACATACATATTCATATGTATATAGAGAGAGTGCGCGTATGTTTGCGTGTGTATGCATGTATGTGTATGTATAGATGTATAGGTAGATAGATAGACAGACAGATAGATAGATAGATATGCACATGCACACTTGCATGCATACATATACATACGTATACATACGTATACACACATATACATGCGTATACATACATATAC